CATGACAACGTGAGGTCCTTTATCAACACCTTTTAGTAATGAAAGCTTTTGTTAAACGACTCACCCATGCACAGGCCAACCGGCCTATTGCAGACTCCTTATTTTCTTATGTTCTTATGTCTTTGTATGTATTAAGTCATTTTTGTCTAATGTGTATTTTCAGCCTTCGGCCTGCAAAACTTTGTCAATAAATCGTTAATTATTATTATTATTGTTATTATTATTTTTATTATATGTTCTTGTGTTCATGTGTGTGTGTGTGTGTGTGTGTGTGTGTGCACGTGTGTGTGTTTATGTGAGCGCGCGTGAAAGTAGATTCTCGGGCGTGGGTGAGTGTATCCGTATGCGTGCGTGTGTGCGCGCATGAGACAGGACTAAAAAGACTGATAATTAATTGAACACAACTCACAGCGTACAAACTCACAGGTCCTTTCCATGTCGACTCCAAACAATAAAAAAATTACCCTCTGCAATATGTTTAATCGATCGAGGCAGCATAAAGTAGCGTGTGAAGGTCAGTGCAGGTTCTCGTCCCACGCCACTAATAAGCAGTTAGGCTGGTTCTAATCACAGGCAGTTGAAGAAAAAATTAATGACACCCAATAGCGGCACGTATCATAATACATGTGTCGTTTACGAGTCGAATTCATATGACTGAGGTACACACTCTCTAGTCTGACGTACAGTACTTCAGTTATTCTTTGTACTGGGGACATGAAAACGAGAATAAAGAGATATAAAAACAAATGAATAAATAAAACAATAGATGACAAGAGAAAAACAAATTAAAGTAAAAAATGTATTGCACAGTGCACAGTGCACTGTTCGTTCATGTTAGGAACAATAATCATCCCATGGATTGGGAAAACAGCTTAGAGGTGTACAAATCATCATGTGTCACAGACAGACTTCTGGTTGAAGCTAGTTTGATTAGGGAATTGAATTCTATAAACCTTAATGATGGTCAGTACAAAACTGATAATATGTTACACAAATTTATTTGTCAGTGGCCCAAGGTTAAAAATGCTTTTAAAGCATTGAAGGTAAATATAGGATAGATGATTAGTAGGTCCCATATTTTTTACCTGACTTAACTTGACTAGTCACGTCGCCCTTTCTTTTAAGCTCCTCTGCGTGTGTAGTGGTGTTGGTGTCCGGATTGGTGGATGTCATGTTTATGACCTGACCTCATGTTTAGTAAGGTCACTCTGTGTACTTAGCCTCTCTCTGTCTAAGTAATTCAGTTGCCTCTGAAGATGTCTTGAAAATAAAGACGAAAACTAAGGTGCTCCATTGTTTCCCTTTTCCCTGTATGATTTTATCAAGATTTATCTTATCCACGTTTTCATTGTGGATATACATGATATATATATATATATATATATATATATATATATATATATATATATATATATATATATATATATATATATATATATATATATATATATATATTCAGAGATAGTGAAGAAAACAAATTAAGCGAGATAGTAGTGACTAGTAACGATGTTAGTAAGCAAATAGAGAAACTAAAGCCTAATAAGTCACCAGGTCCCGATGAGATATTTACCAGAGTATTAAAGGAATGTAAGGAAGAGCTTAGTATGCCCTTAGCTAAGTTGTTTAACATGTCCTTAAAAACAGGTGTAGTACCAGAATCCTGGAGGATAGCGAATGTAATACCGATTTTCAAGAAGGGGGATAGATCACTATCCTCTAACTATCGCCCAATCAGTCTAACATCAATAGTAGGCAAATTACTGGAAGCAATCATTTCAAACTATTCGAAATCACCTGGAGAAGCACAGATTGATCAATGATTCTCAGCATGGCTTCACAAGCGGACGTTCTTGTCTAACTAATCTATTAACATTCTTTTCATCAGTTTTCGAATCGATGGACGAGGGGCACAATTATGATGTGGTATATCTCGACTTTAGCAAAGCCTTCGACAGAGTCCCCCACGAAAGACTAATTAGAAAGGTAGAAGCTCATGGCATCAAAGGTAACATCCTTAAATGGATTAGGGCGTGGTTACAGGACAGGAAACAGCGAGTGAGCATTAACGGCACTAAGTCCCATTGGAGCAACGTCACAAGTGGAGTTCCCCAAGGCTCAGTACTTGGACCATTATTATTTATTATATACATAAACGACATAGATATCGGCATAGACAGCAACATAAGTAAATTTGCTGATGACTCTAAAATAGGACGTGTTATTAAATCTGACGAGGACTCAGCAAAACTACAGGAAGATCTAAACAAATTTTTCGAATGTTCTGAAAAATGGCAGATGAGATTCAACTTGGACAAATGTAAAGCACTCAGTATAGGAGATGTAAACAGGGAAACCAGATACCAGATGAACAACGATGCCATAGAGAAATCCGACTGCTAGAGAGATTTAGGAGTAATGATAAGTAGGAACCTTAAGCCAAGTAAACAATGTGTTTTTGCTCGTAACAAGGCTAATAAAGTACTTGGGTTCATACAAAGGAGTGTTAGTTACAGAATGGATATAGAATCATTGGAAAGAATTCAGAGGAGAATGACAAGATTAATCCCGGGCATTAGGAACCTTGAGTATAGAGACAGGTTAAAGCATCTTAATTTGCACTCCCTCGAGAGACGTAGAGCGAGGGGCGACCTGATAGAGGTGTATAAGTGGAAGTCAGGGCTAAACAAAGGGGACATTACAAAGGTACTCAAACTATCCAACCAGGAGCGAACTCGTAACAATGGTTTTAAATTAGACAAATTTAGATTTAGGCGTGAAATAGGTAAACACTGGTTTGGAAACAGAGTAGTGGATGAATGGAACAAGTTACCAAATATCATCATTAACTCGAATACGCTGAATAGCTTCAAACATAGGTTGGATGCTTATATGAGCAATAGGGGTTGGGTGTAAACGGGACTGCCCAGTATGAGCCAATAGGCCCGCTGCAGTTTCCTCCATTCTTATGTTGTGATGGCATTGCACGTACTGTACGTTAGGTTAGGTTTTTTCCGTGCCTTTTTCTGACTTTTTTCTTGGATTCAATGGTGTGTTGTACTTCATCATAAATCAACGTAATATTCCCTCTTTTTTTATTTAGTTATTTCTATGTTAATATTTTCCTCTACATAACAACAACGTCATAACTAACTTTACTTACAAAATACAACAACAATTCAATACGTGGGTTACACAGAGGGCTTCTAAAGCAACAGTCAAGTACCATAACAGCCATATTAGTGTTCGAACGTCTTGTCGCTGTCTAACGTTGAAGTTATTTTCTTAATTATTTTATAATATTTATTCATAAATATTAATCATTAATATTTTGTAATAAATGCGTGTTTTTGTTGCACTTATATTATTTTATCACGAATAAACAATTGATATTTAGAAAAGAATTAGTGAGTCACTGAAGACGAAGTCAAGGCTCTGTCTTACATTCGAACGGGCTTCCCGCCAAAAGTGGCCTTTAAATAGCGCGGCTGACTGGTAGAGGTCAGCAGTAGTTCAGCAACATCACTTCTGACCAACCGGTGTTCATTACAGCGAACGGCTTTATTAGTTAAAGTGTGTTTTGTGATTTGAGGTTGTGTGAGACATTAGTTGTAGTTTTTCTGAGAAATATATTTTTGAATTTATATTTAGTTAAAACGAAATTCTTATTTAGTCTTAACTAATAACAAGGTAACTCATTTTGTGGATTGTAAGTTGTCTTTTTTTTACATTATTACTCGTGCTTAGAGTTGTAACAATGTAGTAGAATATATGAACGAAAATCTTGTAATTGGATAAATACGCGGCATATTCCTTCTCAGATGGCAAGTTTTGTATCTACACTCCTGCTCCTTTTGGCGGCTTCCCAGGTACCACTTCTGTAGTTAAGTAGTTTTATTCGTAATGACCAAAATCTCAAAAATGTTATACACGTTTACGTTCACTATAACCTCATTTTTTATACATAATAACCAAAACCGCATATTTGAAACCATCCTACCTTTTACAGGTTAATTGTCAATACTACGATACCCACCGACCTGTGACCATCACCCCAGTTACTGTAACATTGATTGTAACGGTATGTAGTCTTGTAGTATCGCTCCAGTTATTGACTTCCTGTAATTTACCACGGTAACATTAGTTTTCTCGTATGGTGGTTAACGGTGTTCAAAGCATATGTGATAATCCTTAAAATTTAAACAAATTCAGTTCTTTAACTATATGGTTATTGACTTTTAACAAACCCATTTAACTATTCAAGCGTGCAAGGTAGTTTCTGACGTTTAATTGACCACTAAAGCAAGCTGTTCAACACATTTGCTGTCCCATAAAACCCTTCATTTGTCAAACACATAAGTTAACCATAACGTACTGACAGGATACAATCACCCACACTCTGAGAGAGACGACCACCTCCGACGTCTGGATCACCGACCAGACCACTGTGACGGAGACCCTCACAGCCACCACCACTGACTGGAGCTTCGTGCCCTCCCACCCATCCACCAAGACCTCCGTTATAAAGATCACGACAACTCCCGTGAGTATCTTCTTTTCTAAGAGACCCTTTGTACCTGGACTCGTGCTCACTCAAAGACCCCTTGGACTCGTGCTTACTAGGAGATTTTTTATGTACTTTTACTTCACGCTTGGCAAAACCCGCTGATTTTATATAGTTTATACCGACTTTAATCTACGTCGGTAACTTTGAATACTGAAGTCAATATAGGTTGCTTAGTCTTTGCATTCTCGGAAAAATTCTTAACACGTTGTGGTCACTTCTCTAACAGGTTTCTTTAGTGACTGCTACCAGCATCGTCTACCCCCAACGTACCATGGTCTCTGAATTCACGTCTTTCTTCACCACAACGAATGTTGTTGAGTTGTGGCAAAGCATCACCCACGTGTCTGTAATGCACCAGGTAAATGGTTAAAAACTCGTAAATTCTTGAGTTAACTTCCTATACAAAACAAACTTTCTTTTGGAGTTTGTTCAAGACATCTTGGGAGTACAATTGCTTCAACTTCTAATTCTTCTATTGCTCGATTCTTTATAGCTAGCTCTAATTGGTTTAATAGAATCTACGTAAACTTCTTCACCATTCAACTATGAACTCCATATTGATTAACTTGCCTGGTATGTCTTAATAGCTCTATTTTCAGTTAAATAGCAGCCCTGAATAACTTAAATAGCACACCTCAATAACTTCTTATAGCGTTTAAATTATAAAACGAGGACAATAATATAATAGCTATGGGATAGAGTTGATCAGATTTTTTACCTGCAGAAACTTGCCTCCCACTTCCGCAGGTGCACACAGTACCCGTGGTCAGTACTCAAGAGCTGGTGCAGGAAATCGTCTCTTCTCTCACAGAGTTCGTCACCGTTACCATCACCTCCGCCACCCGATATGGAAATAATTAATGTAACCTTGTAATGAAGAAAAATTGTTAAATGAAAATTACCTGCATCACTGGATTTTAATTAAGATGACCTAAAAGGTTAAATTCTGTATGCCATAATATAATCTTAAATAAACTGTTACCAGTTTAAGTTGACCTACAATAATAGTTTAAATTGGCAGAAAATTAGAAGGAAAAATTCTGATGGTTTTTCCTCTACACCAGCAGACTTATAGGAAACGGAGCCCTTCCAATTTGTAGTATCGAGACCTGATCCTGTATGTTGCTTCCAAACGTTCAATCTAATCTCCATACTATGAATGGATATTAAATTATTTAAAGCGTTAACCTTGACACAAACTATCTAGATATTAACGATGATGCCAAAAATTTAAACGTATTTAATATTAATGCCTTGGTTTCTCGTATCCTAACTACCTGTTGAGGTTAGAACTAATTTCACTTTCTTAGTGCTCAAAATTAAGTTTCCAAAACATAAATAAAAATATGGTAACTTGTGTGGTATTAGTTGATCGGTTTATATAAAGTTTAAGATAGTTCCTGTTGAGGCAGACGGCTAAACGTTCATTACGTGGTCGGCAGTGATCCCAGTAAATTGAGGATGGACTTGAAACTTCGTACAATAAGAAACTGATCCTTTTAAACACTACTCGCATACAATAATACTTGATAACACATACAGAAGATTCTTTGTAACACGAGTACTTGAGTGTTTGTAAACTTGTCCCCTGGTATTCTTCTGTAACTTAGGATTTCTTTTTTTTTTCCTTCGACAATTCATTGTATGTTGAACTGCGCTAAAGAAGATCTTGGCAGGAGTAACTTTCTTTTTTTTACTGGATATATTAAATTATCGAACTATTGTTTTGTTTATGAAAAAAAATTATGATTATTGTTATTTATGGGTATAATGTACTTGGGTAATGTTTATTGCTAAATATTTGCCATGGTGCTGTGTATTCAAATATTTGCTGTGTAATCATTATCTTAATTAAACACATATCCACCAAACGACACCCTTGACTTTAATAACCTAACTATTTGGAGTATTACCAGAAGGGCATATTTATTATAAGCGAATATTATAGTATTACCATAATGGTCAACTTTAGAATTACTCGAAAAAATTAATTGGTATTACCACAGTGGAATTAAGATTTGTCCATTAAAAACGGGTGAATATATCAAGAGTGAAAATTCTAATGATACCAGAGGGAGTATATTCATAGTATTACCACATGGAATATACACCAGCACGTGTGTGTGTGTGTACGGCCGTTCACTGCCTCGCAAACCCTCTTGAATAAATAATTCGACAAATCCTAAATTATTCCCGTTAATTAACTTCAACCAAATTTTAGTTGTGTAATTAAACTCCAGCAATAAGAATCTACCGCCAAGGTACACCTACTTAATAAGTTTAGTTAATTAATATATGCAGCCTCGTGAGATGGTATATATAAATAATTGAATTGTATATACATTTACTGGTATAGATATGGTGAGGCTAATTATAAAGTTTTTCATTAGCATGGAATAATATTTTTAGTTAAAAAAATAATTACTGAACACTATTCGTGATTAGAATTTGTTCCTGTTGGTTTTTAAGTTAGGTTAGGTCCCTGTTTATTACGTCTTAAGATATTATAAATAAAAGGTAATTGAGTAACTTAATGGCTCTATTACTGAACAAGATATTCAGTTAGCTTGAATATTTTATCTAACTAATTAAGTCTTGATATTTTTCTAAAGTGTATCTTGTATTTAAGTAACTAATTTTTGTATTTCATGTTATGTATTTATTTTATGTATTTATGATGACTGTTTTATCTTGTAATTTAATATATACTGAAAGAGTCTTGTAATGGCTCGGGTGCCAAGACTGGCTGCAACAAGGCCACACCTGGCGACGTTGTTCCTCGAACACTTTTGCAGCTTAGAATCCAAATTCGCCGCAAACAGAGAAGCTCGGGAAGCAGCCATCCCCCTGGTCTCCCCGCCCACCTGGTACGGTGTCCTCCGTAAACTTCCTGACCTCTCGTACGTCTATGGGAAAGGGTCGCGGAAAGGGGACGTGATTGCTGCCCGTATCATCATTGGGTATGACTGCTTGGGAGATTGGTATCCCCGCATCCCCTGAGCAACGCTCTTGTGCATTATGCAGAAGACCCGACAGCCTCACCCTTATCCACTACCTCCTAAGATGTCCCCACACACAACGCTTCCGTGACGCCTGCTGGACCACCACTCCACGACACGATGATCCTCCCCATACTGGCCAGATACTATGTAAATAACATTGATTATGTGTTAAAGGAATATCCTTCCTTCCTTAGGCTTTAGTAAGCCCCTTTATAATATTTATACTGTATATACTTGTCACACTTGCCAGATGCTTCTGGTGTCATTGTACAGGGGTACCTAGTGACAGCACTAGGATCCCGCTTCCTCTATCAAGGAATAAACAATTGAAATGGCTCGGGTGATAGGTATTTTGGTTTGGTTTTACGCGGACGGATTTTACTGACTTAAATGACTTTTCTGACTTACTGACCGACCGACTGACTTACTTTACTGACTGGCTGGCTGACTGGCCGACTGACTTACTTTACTGACTGACTGACTTTACCAACTGACTGACTGACTGGTTTATTACAGCTGAAGCAATAACTTGTACCTCGTAATACGGTGAACGGAAAGTCACAGGAAAAAAATTCACAGGACTTGTACACATTGACAACACAATATATATATGATGGCATTGCACGTAGGTTAGGTTAAGTTTTTTCCGTGCCTTTTTTTCTGATTTTCCTGGATTCCGTAATACTGTTTGATAAGCTTGTGGAGTTGTTCCTTCATGTTCCGAGTTTTAGTCAAGTGTGGAAGACAAGTTTTGACAATGGACGAGTTGACGGTCGGAATTTTTTCGTTAGATGGCAGGTCAATAGATAAAGAAAACGCTTAAGTTCACTATGGTAATGAAGTTTTTAAATAAATTTAGCCAAAAAGTGAAAAAAAATGAAGGTTAAAGTTGCTACAAAGTCACGTGACTGCGAAAAGCTCTGGGTTTGGTTGTGACGTTACTGACTAGTGTGAGCCGCCCAGCCAGCTGTGGTGTATGTGTTGTTACCAGCAGAAATACAGGACTTGTGGCTATATACAGTGTTGATATACACAGACATACCTTATTTTGGGTTAAAATAAATAACTGCTCAAGTATCATCATGTGTATTTCCTTGCTGGGCTGCCAAAATGATGCAAAAGACCGATAACTCCAACGTGAAAGTTTTCATCACTTTTCTATTTCATGTCTGGAAAATGTAAGTTTCGTCACTGGTGTCTATATTCAATATTGTGGAAGGACTAGGGACGACCATGGCCAGGGGATGGGCTTGAGATGATCAGATGACTTATGTAATTTAACGTGCTTCATAGCTGGATGGCGGAGTTCTTGATAATACTCTTTTATCATAATGACATCTACTTTTGGTAAACTTCTTTCATCTCTTTGAGGAACCCTGGAAGTAGTTGTGCAACCTTTCGGCTGATCGGCTCTGTAAATAAATATTATTAGATAATTAATTGTGCTTTACTGTGCAACACCGTAATGCTATATTAAATATATAAATATTACTAAGCACATTAACTAACTTAATTGATATTAGCTGCCCCTACTACAAATTTGAAAGTATAAACATTCCAAACAATATTGGTATTATTTTCGTTTTGGTCATCTGGGGAACCTTAAGATTCTAACTAGGGGATTAAGTTCTTTAAACAAGAAGACAAATTATCTCTACTGGATTTCTGTCGCAAAACATTTTTCGATCACAAGAAAATACAGATATGTTGGGTTAGGGTATGATGAGTTATAAGGTTAGCTTAACATACAGTACATCGGTAAGGGTGGGGTAGTAACTCAAAACTAGTGATTTCCGATAAAAATGAAGGTCTAAATCGTTCATAACACATCGCAAACCATCAGAAAAAAAACATAGTCTGTCGAAGTACAAGGATGACCAAAACTTAAAATTTACCCAATATAGCCTATCTCGAATCTAAGCATCCAAACCCTTATAGTAGTTTAAGTAAAATTTTACCCATTAATTAATATACCTGTAAATGATATATCCCATTGATTCATTAGTGAATCATCAAAACAAAAAATGGACTTTGTTGTCATGTCATCAGGCATTCTCAAAACAAAGTCCAGACAATGTCATTACTTCTAAATTTACTTGTATCTCCACTAGTACTGATATACTCTGTAAATGCACTCGAAAAAAAGAAGAGAAAGTCTACCAGGTAAGATTACATGACAGCTGAGCTGGTGTGAACATGGGAGTTGTTTATGTCCATAAGAACATAAGAATGGAGGAAACTGCAGTCCCATTAACACCCAACCCCTATAGCTCATATATCCATCCAATCTATGTTTGAAGCTGCTCTCCACGGCACATTTTTTCACTTACGAAATGTCCATGACTTAGACCATAAAAAAAACACCCTTAAGACTTACCTGAACGTGGCATTTGGGGTCTAAAGAGGCCACCTTTGTACTATTAATGTGAGTTTGATAGAGAGCGTCGTCTGCAGGGTAGGTGGTGACTGGTGACGTCATGGTAAATGGCGGCCCTGTTTTTAGAGAAATAAACTTATCTCTACTATTATAGCAGGACTTTAAACTTTTATTACAAATTATATATACCGCATCACTCTACGAACGTGACGGAGTGTATTTCTTGTGTTTACTCATAACTGTCAACTCGTCCATTAAGCAGGAGCGAAGGACGAGGACAAATTATAACGATGGTAGTTAACCTCGTTACGTGTTCCACCCCTGTTGCTACGATCCAAAGATAATAAATTGAAAGGTTATTTCAGTCAATAAATTTCTAGTAATATTCCAACGGTTAGTTAATATCACAGAAGTTATGAATATTACTTCAAGAAATATTTGTACTGAGGGATAAGCGAGGTAATGACACTTCTTTTGTTGACGAATATCGCCTGTGAAAAGGGGGGATGGGGGGGTGAGGGAGGTGAAGGGAGTGAAAGAGGGGGTATGGGGGTGAGGGAGGTGAAGGGAGTGAAAGAGGGGGTATGGAGGTTGAGGAAGGCAAAGAGGGAGGGTAGGTCGCCAGGCATGTCATTCTGTCTTCAGCTTGCTCTTGATGAGCACTTAACTGTACAGTCATTGTTAAGGTTAAGTACTTCAAGTGTTCCGTTTTAAATTTTATAATGCGAGTTAATGGGATATTTTCTTTATTATTGATAATGGCTTGTGTTTATTTAATGGGTTTGATGAATAAGTATTACTTACGTCTCGATAAACTTGATAATCATTGTCAAATTGGGATTGAATATTTTTGTAACTATGGATTACGTTGTTAATGCATCTTTCAAAGTCTACGCTATGTAATTAACTTATGTTAACATTAGGGGTATTTATTAGTATGTTCAATTTTGTTTCTAAATACTTGCATAACGTCTTGTCACTTTTCTTGCCTCGGGGAAAAAAAACCGTAAAATCATGCTGCTTAATCGTGTGCCTAAAAACTATTATTAAAATCATTTGTTTTCATCCAACATTATGTACACTAATGAAGAATTGTAATAAATCCTATATTTCTTCCCAGATGTGGACGCTCGTAGCACTAACTCTGGCTCTAGCCATCCTGGCCGTTTCTCCTGCACAGGCTGGTGATTATCGTCGAAGACCGGTTAATATCTCTCGTTCTTAACTAAAAATATATCCAAATTTTTTTTTATGAAATATTACTCCGTGTCAAATTTGATCACTTGTTGACTTAATTTCTTAGGATACGTATTGTTTGATACAAATTAAAGTTGTACTGTTTTCCACAGAATGCAAACATAATTCTGACCCAAGAACAGAGAAGAGGTCCCATTGTTAATCTTGTAGGCGATAACACCGTTTTGGGTCAGGGCAACACTGGCCAAGGTAGCAGTGGCCCCGTCTTTGGCTCTGGCGTCGGCAGTGGCCCCGTCTTTGGCTCTGGCGTCGGCAGTGGCACCGTCTTTGGCGTCGGCAGTGGCACCGTCTTTGGCGTCGGCAGTGGGCGTCGGCAGTAGGCTCTGGCGTCTGGCCCCGTCTTTGGCGTCGGCAGTGACACCGTCTTTGGCTCTGGCGTCGGCAGTGGCCCGTCTTTGGCGTCGGCAGTGACACCGTCTTTAGCTCAGGCGTCGGCAGTGGCCCCGTCTTTGGCTCTGGCGTCGGCAGTGGATCTGGCGTCGGCAGTGGATCTGGCGTCGGCAGTGGCCCCGTCTTCGGCTCTGGCGTCGGCAGTGGCCCCGTCTTCGGCTCTGGCGTCGGCAGTGGCCCCGTCTTCGGCTCTGGCGTCAGCAGTGGCCCGTCTTCGGCTCTGGCGTCGGCAGTGGCCCCGTCTTCGCTCTGGCGTCGGCAGTGGCCCCGTCTTCGGCTCTGGCGTCGGCAGTGGCCCCGTCTTCGGCTCTGGCGTCGGCAGTGGCCCCGTCTTCGGCTCTGGCGTCGGCAGTGGCCCCGTCTTCGGCTCTGGCGTCGGCAGTGGTCAGGTCAGGCGGGTGGAGTCCTTAATCACGCCCACTGTCACCCAGACAGTCACACTGGACAGGTTCGTGACCTTGACTGACCTGGCTTTCCACAGCGTAGCAGTGACTCTGACTTCCCTTAGACTACAGACCATCACGGCGGGAACGCACGCGGTAGGTAAATGTAGATCGCCGTTTTAAGTGAACCTGGAGAATGTAATTCGGTGCAGGTTGAACAACCACCAACACCGGTTGATATAACCCTAGTTTAACTAGTATTAACATTAACTAGCTTAAACTTCTAGCTGTTGATACTATATAGGTTGCTACACATTACTGTATAGGTTGTCACATATATATTATAGCATTGGTTGTTAATATAACAGTAATATAGCAGTTTATCAAAATAGGTAATCGCTAATGTTGTCGTCTACAGGTGGTACAAACACCAGTCGACGACCACGTCGCTCTCCAGACCACGGTAGTTGTCAGGCCCACGTCGGTCACCGTCAACTGCCTGAAGTCTGACTTCAGGATGGTGACTGAAGTGGTGGTAGACCACGTCACAATCACCCACACCTCTTACGTCATCAATCAGATCACCGTCACCACCCTCGTCACACAGGCGTATGTATAAACTGTCTGTTGCCCTAGTTTAACCGTAACCCGCCAGGCGTTAGGACTCTTAACTTGGTATAAAACTGAATATATTGGTTCAGGTACTGATGGTAAACTGGTTTCTTCCACAGCCTGACCTACACCTCCACACTGGTACGGTCGATCATAAACACTCAAAGGACAACCTTGACTGACCTCCGGACAGTGTATGACACCATGTTCGTGCAGGGCACCTACGGTACTCCCGCCGCCGTCTAGTGTCCTCGCGGCGTCCACTAATGCCGGCCTTTATTAACCAATCCTTTGTACACCAGAATTCATACCACCGCCGTCTAGTGCCCTCGCGGCGTCCACTATTGCCAGCCTTTATTAACTAGTCCCTTGTACACCAGCACTTCCAATCATAATCTTGCATTGTATACACTTGAGCATTATTCAATAAAACTTTTATTGCCACAATATTTTAATACCGTTATTACTCTATGACTAAGCTTTTTATCGGCTTTAATGATCTCATTATAAATAGTTTGTTGAAGGTTATAGCATAAAGTTTCTATTAACTTTACACGGTTAAAACCATTAAACTAATTACATGACGCAAAGTGTCTGCACTAGACTTGTAGATTACAAGCAACCATGAAGTTGGTTATATAACCACGTAAAGCAGATTTGGCGAAAATTAAACGCTTCCAATTCGTGCTGTAAACACTTCTAATTCATGCCCAAACATTTCTGACATTATGAAATTGTTTCCTGGTAACTCTTGCTTTAAGTTTAATGATTCTGGGAAAGAGGTCTCCTGAACAAACTTCAATCTCGATGACCTTATTTGGTACATGTAGAAAAATCTATGGTCTCAAACTTGCTTAAGCCAGTTGGTAAATATTGTCTAGGGTACTAGTATAGTAACTTGCTATAGCTTTTCCATGCTTCGCTGTAGCTCGTGCCAATGAGGGTTAAAGAACGAGGAAATCATATCGCTCTTAAATAGTAGTCAGGGCGCACTCTGAGGGTGACCAATTGCCCTTTATCAGTACGTTTCTTACCCCGGGTAAACCCCGCCATCTAGTTAGTGAGCACGGTACTAAATTGGAAAAAAGTTTCGGGAGTAACTGCCTCAAAACTCGTGACCCTATTCCTCGCCTATAATGCCTTCAGTATGAGACTCTTCATTTATTTTTAATACTTGCCTGCTTAATGTTAGAATATTTCGTTTCAATATGTACTATACCATTTGGCATGCTGGAAATCGATCGATACAGGCCATGCATTCTCGTGTAAATGATTTCCACATTCAGATACTGTAGTGTTTCCTTCACTGGTATAATGTACTATCGTGGACAAAAGTTCGCTCCTTCCCAAACGGTAGCAGTATCGACCCGCACAGTACACCCCGCATCAGATAACAATCTGGTTAAGTCAGTTCGGAGACTCCCGTGTATCAAGTTTCACTACAAGGAGCGTACTTTTGTCCACGATAGTACATACCCTGTACATAACTGACTTGTTTACATGGTATATACTGTACTTGTGGGGGCAACATTTCGTATGGTTGTTTTCGGTTATTACCAGTGGCTCCTTGTTCTGGCCCTTGACCGTCGATTCTTGAGTTAATGGAGCTGGAACATGTGAAGTTTATTGGATTTTATTAGCAAAACCGAAGTTACTTGATTTCATTCAGGAAAATATATTCTATACAGTTCCAAGTGTATATCGCCATCACTTATTCACTATAGCCATGAGAGTTAAGTGAGGATGGAGGCTATAATAGATTAGCTCTACTAAATACATCCGGTTTGCGAGTAGCAGTGATAATGCCAGGTCTATCTGGCGTCTAAAATCTGACCTTGCATTTTAGGGCCCCGCCTCCAGGCTGGAACTTACCCGTCACGTGGTATGACCATGCCACCTCATAGCTTATATGATTATATAAGCTTAAAGTACTCCCCCACATTTATATAAAGTAAGAACTAATACATCGCTCCGTCACCACTTCAGAGCTTCTAGGAGGATTTAACTGTGCTCGCAGAATAAACCCCATACATATACCTACCCATGTTACAAACATGTGTAGACACTAAACTGGAACCTGAGTTTCACTAATTACTGGGGTCCTAGACTTGAGTGTCTTATGGGATAGTATATTATGTACAACGGCAAACTTGGAAGATACTGACTAGTAACAAAATAAAAATATCACTGCCAGAGGTAATACAATAGTGGGAATAGAAAAATTGGTATGGCAACTCCCTGCGCCAAATAAAATGGCAAGTGATTTAAGTTAGTAAACTGACTTTCAAATAAGAAATTACTTAACTTCTTGGACAATATTGAGTTTACTAAAGCCCCGTCCACACGATCGAGCAATGCCCGGCGGGCTTTGCCCGTTTACTGGGCAAATCCTGTGTGTTGTACACACGGGGGTGGTTGGCGGCAGTCATAGTCTGGCGCCGGTAGGTGGTCGGCAGTGGCGGGTGTGGTGCGATCACCATGGTGTTGTCATGGTCACGTTGACTGCTGATCTATTTAACTAATGATTCTTATTAAACTCCACGCCCGCAAAACATGAGTGAGTTAGCGACCCCTAGAAGGAGCGTGTTTACCCTCGTGATCCCTCCCAGTAAGCCCCGTCTTTGTGAAGACCTTTATCAATACGTTGTTTTTTCCACTTTCTCCTGGGAAGCTCAATCTTGAATTAGTCTGTGTAAATCAACTCCAGTAATTCGCCAGACCTTTGTCAACTGAGGGTCATCTTTGAATGAGTAACAGTTAGTTTGTTTGTAATTATTGTCATTGCGTGAGTAGCGATCACTGGCAACTCAGGGGTATATATACTACTGGTAAGGGAGAGATGCAAGGTTACCCCAGTGACAACCTTGGCAGCCAAACCACACACAACATTAGATCATAAAAAGATAGGATGTTCTTGGCAGAAACACAAGTACCTGCCCTAGACTCCTCACCATTGGCTAGGACATAACACACGAAAATGAAAGGCAAAATTGCAACAGTTGCTAAACATACAAACACCTGACATAAATATAACACCTAAGACGAAATTTAGCTTAAACACAAACATGAGATAACAGAAGCATTTGGGTTGAGCCCCAAGACCTAGCATTCTACTACTATTTTCCAATTTCCTCGCTTTCCTTCTGCACTATCCACCAACCCCAAGTCCCTCCAAATTCCACCATTATTCTTCAAGTCCAGTTCCCGCACCACCAATCTATGCATCTGCATCAAGATTTCTTCACACTTTACTTCATCCATCGATCGATCGACAGCGTCCCCTAACGTCTGCTCTCCCGTTTGTCTCCAGGTATGTTCTGTGTTCCCTAGCCATTCAGTTTGATTTAGTCAATTGTAGGGAATATCAGTGTTCACCAGTGTTCATGATTTAACAGTTGAATTGTCATTCACCCAGTGTAGAAGTAATATAACGTAAATACGTCTGTCGTCTAGACAAGAGAGTTTGTTTGTGTTGTCATGTTTCCCCGTCCCCTGACGTCTGCTCTCCCGTTTGTCTCCAGATCCTGGTGATTCTTGAATCGCTCTACCATCCAACAACCGCCTCGGATGTATTAGATGTCCAGCCGGGATCATATATGAGAAGATGGCACAGATGCGGCTTGATTAATGTGCCCCACGGCTTCGTTGGGCCAGACCCCAGACCCGCCATGTGTCTGGCTACCCCACAATAACAACAGGTGGAGCCCCAGTGCTCTACCCTGGGTTACTCCTTGGAAGTGTATGTCCACAGAGAGGGTTGTAACATGTATGTTAGGGATAATTAGATGGAAATAATTATCCTATGTTGGGTAGTGGACCCTGTATATGCTAGTTTAATTATTAACGAATATGCTGAGTAAGATAATCTACAATGAGTGCCATGTAATGTAACACCAGTAACGTTGTGAGTAAGAGTAATGAAGGAATTGAGTTTGCACTAAGCCCAGGAGTTGAGCCTGGTAATTATATGATTAATACAATATCTTTCCCCATTGATTGCATATAAATAAACTTGTTTTTAGAGTACTTTAGGTGTATTCCTTTCTCCCACAGTATTTTACCTTTATTTCCATCCAAGTGACTTGATGCCAGCATTATCATGCTCACGTGCCTAGACCCTCGACCATGTTACCAAAAGAATGTCCATGCTACCAAAGAATAGGTGACGGAACTGAGTAAGAGTAAGACTTGAGAGAAGTAAGTAAGATGAGGGTGGTGTAGAAACAGAGGGAACCCGCCCACTCACATTGGTGGCAAGGCCTAAACACGCCCCCTCACACTCCTCACTGTCTCGCAGGAATAATCGCCGGACAGTTAAAGCGAAGAGCATAACGTTGTGTACTGTAATAATTGCTGCTATGTGCAAAAAGAAGAACCAAATGCAGAAAAGGGAATGGTGCAAAGAGTGGTTAGGTCGAAGAAAAGTGTTGTGAAGTCATGCCACGGTTTTACGTGAACTGCAAGATGGACATGAGCAAGACTTCACCAATTACATGAGAATGGACCCAACACCTTTGACAAACTTCGAGCGAAAGTGGAACCATATATAAAAAATAACAGGATACCAGTATGAAGGAGAATATATCTGCAGAGGCTCGTCTAGAGTCAATGCTCATATATCTTTCAACTGGGTGCACCTACAGTACACGTCACTTCAGTATAGAACGAGGATATCAAAACAAAGTTTGTCTCGCATAATACCTGCAACTTGTCAAGCCATGTATGAAGTACTCAGGAAGATTACTTGCAGGTGAGATTTGTAATACATAAAAAGTCATTGAATAATGTTAGAATTATGATATGCATAGACAGGAAGCTATGGGACTAGAGTGAGGAGAGCGGCAGGAACGAAGAACACACACGAATGTCATTACATGATACATAAACTAGGGTTGCCATACGTCCGTATTTTCCCGGACATGTCCTCCATTTAGGTCTCGAAATCTTCATCCGGAAGTAATTTTTTAAATTCTTCAAAAGTCCGGAATTTCGGCTTCCACCATTTTCTCCGCGGAAAAAAAAAACATGTAACTGTAATGACGAGAGAGAGCGACAGAGTGTGGGGAGGTGGAAACCGTAGAGATCTCGTTCAGTTTTCGTCAGCTGTTAAGTCACGTGTACGCCTGTACGGTGTTGTCAACTTAGCTGTCAAATATTTGATTGATAAGGGGGTAGAAGTTGATGATGTAATGTGTTTTGACCAAGTTAGTAACCTGAAGCAGTTTGTGGAAAATTACAAGTGATGAAGAATTTAGTAATCTGCCAACACATAAAAAGTGGACCAGATACTTTGAAAAATCAAAGAACTTTGAATGCCACTCAGAATTGCTAAGAATTGCACAATTCTTCTTTGCTATATCATCTCACAATGCAAATACAGAAAGAGTTTTTTCACGGATGCAAAGTTAATGGACAAAGGAAAGGAACAAATTGAGTGTTGAAACAATGAAAGGCATTCTGACCGTACAGTACAACTTCCGAGAAACACCTTGCAGTCACACATCAAGTCATACACACATAGTGGGGGAAGAAGACTGCAGCTAAAGAAGATATTCAGCCTTAAGCAAAGGTAATTTTTTATTTTTAAGATTTCTATACCATGTATGTTGTATATTAGCCTACATTAAAAACACAATGCAATACAGTACACAGATACTGGTGTGTATATATATATATATATATATATATATATATATATATATATTAATGCTATGCAAATATGCAAAATTATACGCAAACATAGAGCCAAAGTGTGTGCCGGGGGGGGGATGTCTTCGGGAACGTCCTCTTTTTTGAATGTTCAGATATGGCAACCCTAACATAAACAATCTCCCGTTTATTGTCACGCCAATAATGTACACTGCATAACCTTATTTGGTTATACATCTGGACCGAGAGGGGACCATATACGTATCACATTTGCAGTCGTCACTCCATATCCGGCAGCAAACCACCAGGCAGGCGGACCATGATTTCGCTCAACTACGGGCACGGGCACTCCGCTGGTTTGCCCGCCAATTTTGCCTGATAATGGGCATTTAGCGCGTGCCCGCCGGGCACTGCTCGATCGTGTGGACGGGCCTTAATAGTTAAATTAGGAACTTGAGCCAATGGAATCAATCTGAAGATTTAAATTTAATGCAAAATGCTGATGAGAAGGGAAGGTCTTCCGTGAACTACAGATTATTTCACAGTAATCCGGAGCCTTATAATAACCTTTCACAACCAACGGCTTACCACCATCTTGGCAGCCTTAAAATGACGTTAGTTTCATCAGGAAAGAAAAAATGCTGCACTGTATGTAGATGCGCATGAAACGGATTTTTCCTAGAAATCGGTGTATAATTACATTGTATTAGGGCTGTGCCTACGTTAGTTTGTTTGACTGCGAGTTCACATATTCCTTCTGTAGCAGGTATAAATGCGAATACATTTGCTGGACATACGTGTAAATGTAAATATGACGCTTTACACCGTGATAGTACCATAGGATCATCCAATGCTAACAGTAATCTTCATTAATTAGCAAAATTTCCTTTGGTCTATCCAGAGTAAACCGTGCCATTAAAATACAAAATGAAGGGTTCCAAATGCTATGCATTAAATTTGCGTTGCCCTAGTATAGGTATGTGGATCAGAACTCATTTAGTAAGTGTTATTGATAAAAAAAATTGTACAGTCTCCGTCCTCATTTAACGCTCTTAGCTATAGTAAATAAGTTATGGTGATATACACTTTGAACTGTATATAATATATTTTCCTAAATAAAAGAAGAAAAGGGCAACTCACCAAGAATCAATGGTTAAGGGCCAGAACACAAGGTGGCAGCTTAATGGGATCAACCTTAAATTACAAGAACCAAGTATATAACTTTCCCAAGAACAAGTCATAAGAGTTTTATAAAAAAAGAAAAACCGTGACTTGCTATACTCCTCCAAAGTGCATTGATATACCCCGTAGTGAGACATTACATGTTGAGTGATATTCATTTTCTCATCCAAGATGATGTGTAATAGCCTTTTCAGTATGCTACACAAATAAAAAATTATCGATTCTATGGTTGTGAAAAACTGCAATAATACCATTCTCCCTATTTTGGGCCAAGTATATGAAAGAACACACAGAACGGTCTGTGATTTTTTTTTTACGGGGATTAGCCCACCCGGGCACAGGTAATGACCCACATCAGGGCCTTGGGGGGGGGCCGAAAATTAGGGGCAAACTCTCTAATAATACATTATTTCTGGCGTAAATCATGATTCAACACCCTTCTAAATAAGCTAATTCACTGGGGCTGTCTTCCCAACAGGCTAACTGCTATGGAACTATTTCTCGACGACAATATATTATTTTTTTTTTTTACTTACAACAGAGTGGACAGGTGTCAGCGGCGAGGCAAGTCCCTCCTAAGTGACGTGGCCTGCCTTGTCGGCCTCTCACAACAGCTCGTGTGAAATGAATCCCTAGTTTCGAATTCAAGCAAGATGCAAAACAAAACAGGGTAATTCCTTCACAATGACAGTTAGACATTTAATAAGTTACGGAGAATGAAGGTCTTTCCTGGACTCAAACGGCGTGACTGGACTCTGGAGGGGAACGAGGTTGGACTCTAAAGGAGTGTCTAGTCCTCTGGTCGTTTAACTGCATGAAAAAGTTTTCCTCACTAAATCTAATCTCAAAATTAAAATAATAGAACGAGAAACCGAAGTTGAACTCTGAAGTTATCTCCGTCAGGCACAGCACGAGCACCTTGTCAACCGTGTCATCTTAGGGATGCACATACAGTACACTATAACATTATGTATTAGGATGTGAAAAAATCCAACCATACAGGAACAGTGAGATCACTTCTTTAAAGAAACAAGTTTGTTGGTTGATTAATAATGGAAAAATTAAAGTAATTCTTGCAATGTATAAAAAAAATGTTCCCCAAGGATATGTCATTTAATTTTGTGTAGGATTACATTATCTGATGTAAAAATAATTATTGTATTAACATTTATAACTTTTTGTAAGCCCCAGAAGGGGATGTCAAAGGTGAGGGTGGGAGTAGTATACTACCCAGTCCTTTTGATGTAGTAGTTTTATTGTTAATAAATTATTTAAATTTTAATTTCAATCATTCGTGACTTGTACTATATATCATCTAAAGTCTTTATAAATATATTTCCTCTTAGATCATACAGTAAATATAAATAACTATAAGAGATTTGCGTCTAAGATGGGGTGAGATACAGGACTATTATGGCACCAAGTTGATATACGGAAATTGAATTATGTCAGTGGTACCTTTGCTTGGTTGTTAGGTTTGAGTTGGTCGTTACATCAGAGGTATAAAATATACGGTTTAATACTTTTACTCTTATAGTCATTTTATATAAAAATATGTGAATCATTCTTTACTGAAATAAATGTAACTTGGTTAGGCTATGGAGAATAAAATTGACTTATGATTGGTTAAGGGTGTTTGGAGACGTGAGGGAGAGAGGGAGGGAGAAGAGGTGGGGGGGTAAGGGGGTTATGGGGGTTGGGTGGGGGGGGTAGAGGGATGTGTGGGTATAAAAGGCGGGGGCACCGGGTCAACGACGTCAGTGTGCTCGTCACCGTTATTACTTCAACCCCACTTAACTATAAAATATTCGTTGTAAAGGTATTGTGGTTTTTATTGTAGTTTTGGTTGGTTCATGTTTCTCGTCATACTATACTAGTAGGAAATGTTTCTGATATATTATTGGGCTAATATTAAAAAAAAGTATTAATTACTTTTCTGTGAATATTAACGTAAATAAACTTTACTACTCAAATGTATATAACTATTAAACAAAGTGGGGTAACTCGCTTACGACGCAGAATATCTTAACCAGCTCTTTAAAAGTAAATACCAAGGTTTTTGTTTTAATCCTTGACTAGATCGAGTTAAGTTCTCTATACTTTCACTTTAACTTAATTAGTTTTGAATATTCTGAAAATGTAGTAAGAATTTTGCAGTGTCATTCATTTAAATTAAACCATTTAACCACTAGGTTATTATAAATTAACTAATATTATCTTTTAAAAACCCAGATTTTCAACTGCTTTATACCTTAACTTCAGATGTCTTGGACAACGGTGTGCCTGGCTGTGGCCTTACTAACAACCCAGACCTTGGCTGGAGATAGAATCGTAAGTTAACACGTTAACCTGATCTACGTATTTTAAATATCCCTATGAATTGCATATTAGACCAGATATAAAAAAAAAACTCTGGTATGCTGTAACTTCTTAATTAACTAAGTTATCCGATAATTAAAGAAATATTATCGGTTTGGTAACCTATTTAAAGTTTTGTATTATCTTCGTGAGTACATTTTAATTGCTCTCTTCTCCACAGCAGAGACAAAGAGGTGGAGTTACCGGCACCACTACAGGCGGCAGAGCTACTGTTGTCCCTACAACCACCTCTGGAACCCAGGGCTCTACCGGAGGACAGGGTTCCACTTTCGGTACTGGTCAGGGATCTACTGGAGGACAGGGTTCCATTTTCGGCACTGGTCAGGGATCTACCGGAGGACAGGGTTCCTCTTTCGGCACTGATCAGGGCACTACCGGAGGACAGGGTTCCACATTTGGCACTGGTCGGGGATCTACCGGAGGACAGGGTTCCACTTTTGGCACTGGTCAGGGATCTACCGGAGGACAGGGTTCCTCTTTCGGCATTGATCAGGGCACTACCGGAGGACAGGGTTCCACTTTTGGCACTGGTCGGGGATCTACCGGAGGACAGGGTTCCACTTTTGGCACTGGTCGGGGATCTACCGGAGGACAAGGTTCCACTTTTGGCACTGGTCGGGGATCTACCGGAGGACAAGGTTCCACTTTTGGCACTGGTCAGGGATCTACCGGAGGACAAGGTTCCACCTTCGGCGCTGGTCAGGGATCTACCGGAGGACAGGGTAGCACCTTTGGCACTGGTCAGGGCCCTACTGGAGGACAGGGAAGCACCATTGGCTTAAGTGGGGTCTTTGCCGGCAGCGTGTTTGGCTCAGGACTCGGCAGTGGTCAGGTCAGGAAAGTGGAGGTTTTGATCACGCCCACTGTCACCCAGACAATCACTGTGGATAGGTTCGTGACCTTGACTGACTTGGCTTTTCACAGTGTGGCTGTGACCCTGACTGAACTCCGAGTAGAGACCGTCACAGTTACTAACTTTGATGTAAGTAAAGTGAACCTCTTCATAACTAAGTAATATAGCATAGGTTTAGCATTAATGTTATATGTTTACAATATAGGTGGACACTAATGTTGTCGTCTACAGGTGGTACAAACTCCCGTCGACGACCGCGTCGCCCTCCAGACCACGGTAGTTGTCAGGCCCACGTCGGTCACCGTCACCTGCGAAAAGTCCGATTTCAGGGTGGTGACTGAGGTGGCGGTAGACCACGTCACCATCACCCACACCTCCTACGTCATCCGTCAGACCACCGTCACCACCCTCGTCACGCAGGCGTAAGTAGACTAAACCTCCAAATTATCTGTGCAATAGGAGTAAATTAAACCCGGGGGGTGCAGGTGTTCCATTACTTCTAAGCAAGAGTTATAGCGACTTGTTGGTTTATTTTCTTAAGTACAGTAACTTCCCCACTGTAAGAAAATTTAAGAGGGGTCAAAATAAGTCACGGATTTTAAATTAACTTGTGCAGAAATCTAAACCTGTTAGGTTCGAAGAGTACTTTTTATACTTATTAAAACACTAATGAAAACTCTTTTAAGCCGTGAGCTAGTTTAACTTCTACTTCCCTTGAATGTTTAGTATAGTTTGTGTGAAACTAATAGTTTTGTTTAGTATTCTCGACTAATTTGGCTTCTACCTCATAATCTCTGAAAACTCTGTTTACTTATAAACATAATTGAGTTCATGGCCGGTATACACAACTTTTAAGTGCTAATAAACCGTTGTTAAGATTGACTTTTTCCTGTTAAGCATGAAACTTTTTAAGAGCCTTAATAGTTCTGTTAAGTTAAAAGACCCCTAGAGCACTTTAAGTCCCGTAATAGTCTTCTGTTAGTTGATACCATGGCGAACCAATCGGCGGCGGCAACGCACTAATCGGGAAACGAGAGATATATTTAATGTATATATTGTGTGTATTCCGTCTTTATAGCAGGGATCTTATTTCTTGACTTGGACAGCACTAAGAACCAGCGTGTCTCGCCACACCCCGTTTGGTTAATTTTTTGTTATCCTCCATATTTTTTCTGTTTTTCCCCCCACATGGAAAAATATATATTTTTAGCTAGTTTCCTTGCCGTTTTAGTTGATTCTGACTTTTTTTTTTTATCTTTGGGGGAAATCACTTTCTTTTTTAAGTTACGTGACCTGACCTAACAGGCCACGTCCTGACTTCACAAAAAAAATAAAACTTGCCCCAAACATAAATATCGGAATCGACTAAAACAGCGAAAAAATATGTTTCGTGTGGGGTAACGAGAGCGACGCTACGTGTCACCATAATTGGGACTTGGCAAAATTAATGTTATTTACAACTAATAATTCGCGAATATCGAGGTTTATTTTTTTAATGCACTGCTAAATTCAAATATTCTTTCGTTAGTTGATGAGATCTACTAAATTTTATGAAACAAAAACCGTGGAAAGGTGATGGGTGGATAACGAAAAATAACCACTTATTTTTGTCTTTATTCAGGAAAGGCTTCAAGCTGCCATTCAATTAACTTTTCTCTTCAATGGCATCCACCAATATTAATGTCTAGTCTTTGGTCCAGTTGGCATTTTCTTCTTTCATGGGGTTGTGGTTTCCTTTTCCATGATGTTCAACGTGTCCGCTTCTTCAATAACACGTTTGTTTACAAGCAGCACTGCACAGAAAAGCCACCGATCACTATCCTTGGTTAATATATCCTCCTTCAAACTGCTTTGCTTAGATTTTTTTAATGATATAAATGTAAATGATCTTCGTAATTCTATTGAGGTTATTCCTCCATAAAGCCATTTTATATGATGAACTCCTGCTATCCTTAGCGGTACTTAGCTAACAAATATTTGTGCGGTAAAAGTTTGATAGTTAAGCTTTGCATAAAACATGAATTTAATTTTACTAACAGAACTATTTTCATTAGCAGATTAGAGTACTGCTATTAAGTCATTAACAAGATAGTTGATATTATCGTCATAACTATTAAACGAGCATAGAATTTAAAATCGTTAGGTGTTTTGTCCCGTGTGTAACGTGTTGTTGACCCCGGCAGGCTGACCTACACCTCCACGCTGGTCCGCACCATCATCGACACACAGAGGACCACCTTCAAGGACTTCCACACCATCACTGACACCGTCTTCGTTCCCTCTGTCTACAACCACTATTAAATGCTGTAATCTGCTGACAATATTTATCTTAAGACATTACTGTATATTACAAATTTCATGAAATATAAGACGAAGTTACTCCATGATTGTAGTTCTTGATCTGTCCCAACACTTGTAGGGAATTTATCCCGACTTAAAATTTTGTGGAAATGGTTTTGATAATTTTTCCTCATTTGCAACGAACTGTATCCTAATTCAACCAGTAAATTATTTTTATATCTTTTGCAATTTCTTATTTTTTTTCGACCAAACAAACTTCGTTATTGATGCCAAAACTATCGTGGCGAGTAAATATGCTGGGAAACTTAAGGATTGTTCAGGCATTCAAAATATCGATAGTATTGGGGAGAAAAGACAACATTTTTTGTTAGTACATTTCTATCTTCCCTTTACTTGTACTAGCCACCAAGAAAAAATTTACCAAAAAACCTAAATAGCTTCCTCCCTGTCTGTCTAAACTTGGATGCTGTTTGTGTAATACTGAGTAGAGGATCTTGAACAAGGTGAACGCATTTTTATAATGTTCTCTCGGCTCGGTTCACATGGTACTCTACCGGCCATGGATTTAAGAAGGTAACAGACTATTTTTACCTGCTCTAATTACTAGGGTTGCACCGGTACTTATTTTCGGCTGGAACCTCAATTTTTTTATTTTTTTATTTTTTTATGAATTTCCATTTCCGGACGAAACTTTAGAAAAATGACTGACCGGAACTTTGTGATATGGTTTAGTAGAGAATGTTTACTAAACATCTCTGCCTCCTAACGTCCACCTCGGCTGCTATTCAGGGAGACAGTAATGTGTGAGCACTGAGGCAGCTGGGTGAGCAGACTAGTGTTAAACTAAGCAAGTACTGGACGCGTCGTCCTGATGGCTGCGTGACTGGAGGTCATGAAACCTACTGTACCTGTCGGACTCTTGGCTTCCCATAGATCGATTTTTTCTTTTTACATATTCTTTTTTTTCCATGTACTTAAACAAACATTTGAATGCTAAACTGATTATATATTAGGTGATATGACCGTTTGGGGAAAAAATACTATAGAAGGTGAATTTTGTCTTAAAGCATTGTTGTATTCCTATATAAAAAAAAAAAAAAAAACTTATAGCAGTAAAGGATATAAAACCGTGGCCTACTTGAACTTCATTTACCGGCTTTAGTTTTAGAAGCTAGTTTAAAAACCGAGACAGACCAATAATACCGTATTAACATTTCTGAGTCGTGAAACTTAATTTTTTTCGTTGTTTAAGCAACACTTTAAATTTAAGGTTCCGGCCAGATTTTTTATTTTATTCCGGCAAGTTCCGGTGCATCTCTACTAATTCCATGACCTGACCTGCCTTACCTTCATGTACTATCGTGCACTAAAGTCGTGTCCACTACCCAGCCACAGTGAGGTTTCGAATAGCCTTGCGTCTGAAGTTTCGAAACAGCTTGTGGAAATGCTATGGTCGGCCAACAGATGTCGCCCATTGTAGTGTGTGGTTGGGGAGAGGCAGGTTTATTTATTATCTATACCACCATAATTTCAAGCTTCCTTTTTAAATACGTTTTGCCTTAAGCCCAGTCCACAGGATCGAGCACTGTCCGACGGGCACTCGCTTAATGCCCGTTGTTCGGGCAAATCAACGGAGTGCCCGTGGTCGAGCGAAATCGCCAGATAAGGTCGTCTGCTTGGTGGTTTGACCGTTTGCTGTCGGGTATGAATGGACGACCTGCCAGACAAACGAAGTTAACCTTGGAACCCTGGCTGCCAGTTCTTCAGTCTCGCCACAAGTCACTACTGGAAAATGTCTGTTCCACCGTCCGCGACAGACCAAGGAAACCTTCATTGGTCTAGAGAAGAGACCATGGTGTTGATTGAACTCTATCGTCAGCACCCTTGTCCATGGAATGTCAAAGTGGACATGAACAGGGACAAACGTGCAGCGGCACTGACAGATTACAGAGGACGTGAATAGTAGCGGGACTACAGTTACCACAAGTGATGTGAAGAGAAAAATTGAATCCCTTCGAAATCAGCATAGACGGGAACTAAGAAGATGCAAAAATTAAAAAAAGTCTGGAACTGAGGACATTTATATTCCGACATTATGGTGCTTTGACGCACTGCATTTCCTCATTGATGGTGTCACAATTCAACAATCTGTGTCAAACATGGATACTCACACTACAGAAGATGTCTGAGGTACATTCTGATCACGAGGTACGTATGCAAGCGTTCTCCGTCTCTCTCTGTGTATAGTACGTAATATGTATGTATATATTTTTGTCACTATTAACAAAGGGCTTGTGTATATTTTTTATTTATTTATAGATATTCAACGATCCGCTACTGCTGGGACTTGATGATAATCCACCAGCCACTGTCACTGGTTCGGCCACGCCCACCGTCTCTCGTATGGCTACGCTGACTGTCTCTAGTTCGGCTGCAGAATCGAATACTCGTGAACCCTCACCCACACCGTTAACAAGTAAACGACCGATCAAAAGGGTTTCTGACAATGCTGATAATACCCTGAAAGAGGCCCTCCACCACCTGCAGTCATTATCTTCCTCCGAAAATATTATAAATGATGCAGACAGTGATTTTGGTCAGGTTGTTGCTAACGATCTTCGACATATGAGCGGTGAAAATAAAATACATGCTCAGAAACTTATTTAGGAGATCCTTTATCTGGGGAAACTAGGTAGGCTTTCCTCCTCAACGACTATTATGTAAGGGTCATTTATTGAATGAGGGTGTTGGATACGCGTACTTATTATAACTATCGATGCGTCATTAGTGGCAAACAGTGATAACTGTTGTTAAAACATACTCTAGTATTTTATTTTTATTGACGAATATGCATGTTGGTTTGGTTTACATGTCTTTATTGTTTGGAGTGGGGTCTTCAGATATTTAATTTAAGACTACATACGCTAGGGAGTATGTAATTATGTTAAATACAGTGTATAATAAGTTGTCTATAGCGTTTTGGAAGCAACCTTGTGTCCTAAACAGCTCCATCATGTATCATTTGTATGGAGGGTTATCCCCTTTTACAAAAACAGTGTTATTTTCATTAATAATCGATAAAAACCGTAAACCCTACTAAGCCTACTATATCACATAATAAGACATGTGTTACCATGGGAACCTCTCGTGACCGTCAAAATTGAATAACTATGTATACTACACCTTTCACATGCGCACCGTGTAACGTCAACAAAAGCTGTGAGTGATCTCTCTATAATTCCCAATTCTGATGAATTTAGTGAGACGACTACCTTCAGTCTGTTTAGAGAACTACAGTGGAGCCCAGTTGTAAGCACAGTGTCGCTTGTGAAATTTATAGTTGCTGGACTTAGACAATATTTTAGATAAAATATCTGGACTTTCTGCCTGGACCCTCTGGTTGGTTATTTTCGCATCTGCGCATGCGCAGTGCGAAGAGCGTGACGTTGTATGACGTGGTAGTGACGTCGTTGCCTCTCCATCTCGCCTGTGACCGAACACAAGCATTGCACAATGCCTGGGGAGAGTGGTGGGCAGAAACCTATGAAGGCTTTGGCTAAAGAAGAAAAGATTGCCCTACTGAACAACTTAGAAGACGACCTGAGGCTTTCAAGTAGTGAATCAGAAGCAGACAATCCGCGGCCAACAACAATAGAAGTGATAGACAATTTTCAAGAAGTGATTAGTAAGAAAGAAAAGAAGAGGAGGCGAGAGGAGGCGAAGAAAAGTGAAGGAAGTGACAGTGATGAGATCATGAATGATAGGAAGAAAAGGACGACACACAGAAGGAAGCAGAAAGAATTCAACTGGGAATAAAACACAGCAGGTCTTGACTGAATCCAACACCCTTCAAGAGTCAGGCCCCAGTGATTATGACAGTGACGGTAATGTTTCTATGGGAAACACTAGCCACAGTGGAAACAGCAATGCCATGGACCCTATCACCCTGCCCTCTGCCAAACAAACAAGTAAGCTGAATCTCCACTTTCCCAAGGACTCATTAAAATCTGTTGAGGATCGGTTTAATTGGATGATGAAGTACTGCAGACAGCATGGTCCCAACATTCAATTCCGACAAGGTAAGAACCGGAACTTTATCAAGTGTCAGACTCCTGAAGTCTATAAAACCCTTAGTACTGTTGGCTTTGACGGGGTTGTCCTAGTGGCCCCTCCAGCAGACGCTGATGAATGTTGCCACATCCTAGTGAAACGATTCCCCCTATACGCTGACATCGAAGATGCACGTGACTTTAATTCTAATATACTCAGTATACATCGACATTACCGGGGACACACTCCACAAGCTGCTGTTATTGTCAAGTGGAAGGGAAGAGTATGTCCAACCACTGTGAAAGCCCATCCAATCCTTCCACCACTTTATGCAGAGCCCTATCATCCTGGGCCTGCATTTTGTGTTATCTGCTCTCATTGGGGTCACACCTTCACTGCCTGCTGCCGACGTGATCGTCCTAGATGTCGCTTCTGCTCACGTAACCACAACTCCACCGCCTGTGCCCAGAAAATCAAAGACCACCTTAATAGGGGTGGTGTGGGCTATGTAGTTGAGCCCAGGTGCTGTAACTGTGGCGGCTGGCACAATGCTGACTCACGGCAGTGCCCCAGTCGCCCTTCTGTCCCAGGGGAGAGGCCTCCCCAAGGGCTGCGTCTACCACAACGCCCCCCTCAGTCAAGTGGGTCACCTGCCCCTGCCTGGCTTCACCAGGCT